ATATATATATATATATATATATATGTATTCCTTGATTATGTTTCCATCATTCAACTTCTAATTAGGAAAATCTTATATAAAAAAAAAATAATAAATACATATTAAATGTAACACTGTCAATTCAATGTATAATGCAAAAAAAATATTTTTAATCATTTACATTTTGTTAGAGTTGGTGGTATTTTCGGTATACCGGTGAGTCACCGGTATTTCGACCTACCGGTATTTATAAATATCGGCATCTCACACTAACCGGTATACCGATCTTTCGGTATTTACCCAATATTTATTATATACTATATATATACCAAATGTATGGTATTTACCGTGGATCGGTAATTATTATCAAAAGACAAAAATAATAAATATGACAATTTAATACACTATTTACACAGCAAGCCTCAAGGGCATATGGCGTATAATAAAAATACATCTAGAGGATAGTCAATAGCGCAAATGAATCAAATGTTTATTAAATGGCATTATATTTTATACTTTTATAGTATTTATTATGAACTATTCATGTAGACCGGCTAAGGAATGAAAAAACTACTATAACCAATGAGTGTGAGACACCAAACTCCACCAGCTCATCTTAAATTATATTATCTGATTATCATAAGATAAATCACTGAAAATACAATTGGACACATAGTGGGGACTCCTATTCTTGGGATCATAAATAATAATAAAATTATATATTTTCTCAAATCTCAACGATATTCTATCAATTTGTCGCTTAAAAACGGTATTAGAGTTATTTATTGTTTAAATGGCATTTACCGAGTGGGCAGTATATACAGAGCGAGCAGAATATACCGAGCAGGTGTTTTATGCCGAGCGAACGGTAATTACTGTGCAAGCGATTATTATCGAGTGACCGGTAATTACCGAACGAGCGGTATTTATCGTCTACACGGTATTTATTGATATATGCCGACATACCGGTATACCTTTAAAAACCGGTGTGTAAACATATACCAAATACCGGGGGCAAATTTCACATACCGCCAACTCTACGTTTTGTGTGCATCATAGAAATAATAAAAACGTCTATATTTGCTTGAAATTAATGATTTTTAATTTATATTTTAATCCTTTTAGTAAATAATAAAATTAAAATATTTACATTTAAATTAAAATTATTGAATAATTATTAATGTTTAAATTCCGAAGATCTTAACCTAATGTGAAAACAATTATGAAAACATTATACTTGAACAAATTCTTTGATTTTCACAAGTTTATACATTTTAGTGAACGGATTATTGCTTTAGCTTTTGTATTGGTATAAATCTTTAAATGTTATATGGTTGTCGCCTAAATTGTTTTATTTTATTCCATTTTATTCCGCTTATGTAATGTAAGCATAATTAATGCCTAATTAATGCAAGTGGTGGGTTTTCTGACATTCCGTAATCTTGAACCTCTTCTATCCGCTTCACTCTCCTTGATGAAGTCTTGACTCGACCTGTATGCAAATTGAATATTTATGATTCTATTTAAAGCTTAACTCGATAAATAAATCATATTATTACAAAACCATAACACTATAATGACACATTAATGTCATTTACATAGTAAAGTAAATTTTATTCAAAATCATCAATACTGATTTGTATTGTTTTGGCTTATCGTTAGACCAATGGTGTACTAGATATTTCTAAAACAAGTATATAAATAATATTTTAGTGACTATTTAACTCAGAAATAATAGAAATTCGATAGTATAAGAGTACTTTCGAATTTTTAACATGAAACATATAAGATATTATTTATTTAAGGAAAGCTCTCGATGCTATGGATATATATTTACCTATAGTATCTATTACTTCTATTAAAATTAACGATATCTACAAATATTTTCTCATCCAAATTCCTTTATATATATATATATAAATCTTACATAATGTATATACAAGATTGGATGTATTGTATTTTAAGCCAACAATTTACTTTCTTCGTCAAATAATCCTAAGAATACAAGAATTAAAACCCTTTGAGTATTATGAAACTCAATTACAACAATCTATTAAAATGTTTGAAACGACGTATATTGTTCCATAAAATTGAAAATAATGACTGTATCATAAAATAAAGACCGTAGTATTTTATACTTTTTTTATTAGGTAAATAAAATGAGAAATTATTATAGTGTTATTTTAACACTTCGAGTATTATTATTAGTAGGACGCTGATAATGTTATAATATATATACACCGGATACATTATTCACTTCAGTGATAATAAATTTATAATTATTATTATTAATACTTTTATTATTATCATTATTATTACTACTACTATTATTATTATTATTTTTATTATTATTATAATTTCCATTTTCATTATTATGGCTATTATTTCAATTTTAATGTCACTTGATCAAAAACAAACGTTTCATTGTAAATGCGATATTTGGAAAATATCTGTATCGTCAATGAAATTCTAGAACCGATTAATTTTGAATCAAATCTAGAAAATAACATAAAAACACACACTATTGCGTTGTATAAATACTATAATTAATAAAAGAAAATGTTTTCGTGCTGAAGCGTATGTCACTTAAAAATACTAAATTACAATTTCACTCGTTTTCCGATAACTTACATGGCCAATATACTCGTACAATATCTATTTGATATTAAATAATAAATTATATGATATCTTAAGTTTGTTATAAGAGCGAATGTACACAGTAAGCGTATCGAGAGTGTTTTTTGTACGACATGTTATCATAAACGTTTCGTAAAGTAAGCCGCTCTTTTCAGTACACGTCTGTGAGTCTCGTAAAAAAACTTTACTGTAGGTATGAATACGATTTCCAGCTGCGCGAATTAAAATTTTTCAACCAACAAAAAAAAAAAAAAATATTTTAAACATTGAAAACATAATACATTTATACCATGATGTATGAGCCAAATTTTGAACGCACTTCGACGATAGAGTATTTTTAACACGTATGAAATATATTTCATCCCGAGAATTTCAATATTAATTGTGTAATAAACGAACAAACAATTCGTAATTTAAATCTACCTTCAAAATTTCTCAATACCTTTTTATATCCTATCTCTTACCTATTTCTGTGTGATATTATATATAGTAACATAAGATGCTTGATTTTTATGGGAGCACTTCACATTACGTTTAAGTTTATACGGTGAATGACCGTGAGTAATAACAACAAATCATTTTGTTGGAAAAACTTTGAATTATTTTCAAAATTGTTTTTTGTTATACAAGGGACACATTTTTTTTAGTATAACGTTGTGATTTTATTTTTTCCTCTTTTTTATTAGTTTTATTGCAGTTGAAAACTGCAAAACATTACGTATTTTAATATTATCAATATTATTACAAATAAAAACGACAGTCGAATTTAGTTTTTGAATCCCAACACTTTAGAAAACATTTTATGAAAACAAATAAAACTATTATTAAAAATATAGAATTTTTAAGTCATAAAGGAGAGTTCCATAAACGCGTTAAATGAATAAAACAATGCTACTTCATGTCATCAAATGTTAGACACACCCGTGTATCAGGCCCTTCGTTTAGTTTCTTATAAACGATAGATTTTTTAGTATGCAGTTGGATGCTCATCGAAAACTATTATAGTTAATGATTGCTTCTAAATGTTTAATTATATTTCATATTATTAATATAAAATCATGGCATTGACATGTTTATTTTGGAAAGAATAAATATTAAAGTAATTTTAGTCAAAAAATGAAATATCTGAAAGAATATTAAAAAATCGCACCTCTTATACTGCTAATTTGCAGAACTCTGGTTTTAAAATAAACTATTTGAAATTCAGTTTTAAGACAAAATTAAAAATTAATACATTTAAAAAACAATACTGAGAATCATGATTCATATTCCAGTTAAAATCGTATAAAGTTAATATTATGAGTTATTTTTTTTTTCGTTTTGAATTAATAAATAAAATAAAGTGTTTAATCGGAAAACCATTTTTATGCTATGTAGTGTACCATTATATTATATTCATTAGTTTATTTTTTTTTAATGGTATTTTATTTTAGGACTTTGGTGCCACGTTCAACCGTTATGCTCAAAAATAGTGGGGTAATAACATATGTAACTGTGTAATTGGTGTAATTTTATGATATTCAAAAGACTTAAAAACAATATTACAATTTTATGGAGCTTATTATTCTATGCATGTTAATGTTCTAACTTTTTTAAGTTTTCATCAACATCATGAATTAAAAAAACAGAAATTTAGATCCCAGAACTATAAAATGCGTAACATAATACAGTGATTAAATGTTGTTTTATTCGGTTTCGTGATCATTTCCATACAATATTATTATGGTGTTAAATAATAAAATATGTTTGCGTAAATTAAAAAAATATACGAGTTTAAAATCATAGGGTTAATTGAAACGAATTGTATACCGAGATATAAAAATGTTATTAATACACGAATATCGATAGATAGTCAGGTGATAAAAATGATTCTGAGCTGCTTAACCGAGAAGTTTCTTATATCCGTCAAACACGACCCGTGCGTGATTCTCGTCACTTATTGTTCACGTACGCGACACATAATGCAGATGGAGATATGAGAAAAGGAAATAAATAAATACAAATATGAATCGTTAATCGTGCGTTTTCGCGTTTCGTGCAGGTCTACCGAAATCTCACGCCTACGGGGCCGCAACGACACGACGCGCAGTAGTAGTAGTATTACATAACGGTGCGATAATCGTAATTTATGTTTTCCGTACGTATTGTATTCGTTACACGTGCTCTGCGGAGAACGCCACCTCGTCACGACGCGTACAAATGCAATATCACAGCGGTAGCAATAAAAATAACAACATAGGTAGGTTATATATGTGCGTGCGCGCGTGCGTTTAGATTTATAATTTAGATTTATAATATGCACGGTGGTGATGATGATGATGATGATGATAACGATGCGCAATAATTTTGTATTTACACGGAAAAAACCGTTCTGTTTACCGTAGGCGAACACCCGGCGGCCATGCAGCACGGGAACAGCAGCAACAGCGCCGTGACCAGACTGCTACCGATTCTCCTGTTGTTCGTGTGCCATTCCATCCAGGTACTGTTGGTGACCGACGTGTACGTACCCACCCGCGTCGTCAAACCGTCCAGATGAACGGCTCGTTAATACTACACTCGGCGCGTGCTCTCGTTTCAACAATATAATATACCGTTTACGACACACGCAACCACTACCGCGCGTGTGTGTGTGTGTGTGTGTGTATGTGTGTGTGTGTGTGTGTGTGTGTGTGTGTGTGTGCGTGTGGTGATACGCGTGTACTGTGCGTGTGTGCACAAAGTCTACGCATACCGACACGTTTATGTAATTTGTATACTATCAATTATTGTGTTATAGGATTAATTCATTTTTTTTGTTTCGTTTTATTTTTATTTTTTTCATTTTCATGTAAAAAGAGAACAACGATTGTAATAATAAAACCGTGCACGTTACTGTACCATGTCCGCAGCTACTGCCACCGTCACTCGCCCACCCGCCACCACATTTTCGTTTCCCAGGTCCGCAATACGACGTCAAAGTAAGATTATGAATACGAATGGACGAGAGAGAAATATTTCGAGATCCTCGGAATTCCTTTTTCGGAAACTCTTCAGACGTACTTTTCGCATTGGTCACACGGATAACTATATTACGAATGAATTGTCCGAGATGAAAATAAACCGTTTATACGGGGCTAATCGTAGATGAATTTGTTATTTAAAAAAAAAAAAATCGGATTTGTTCGATAAATATCGATGTCCCGATATAAAATAATTAACGTTTACGTTGTTCGGTTTTAATTATTATTGAATAATTAATCCAAAATATAGATCATTAAAAATTACCATGTAAATGCAGGTAAACCGAAATACAACTATAACACGTGACCGCCATGTACACGTCGACAGTCATAATACTCGAGTACATTATTTATCGACACATCAGTCGTGCTTTTCGATATCTTTCCTGATTCGTATGTGTAGTATAATATCTTTAGTTATATTTCATTAAGAAATACTATGTTTGTTATATCAAATGTCATGATTTATTTTACACCATGACTTCCTTAGCAGTGTATTATTGTCGCGCTATAGAAAGGATAAACATTAAAAACTATATAATAAATTTAGGCTCACTGGCACGCAATAGGATTTAGCACTTTCGTTCTGAAACCGAAATAAATGTAAAAACATATAGGTTATAGTTAGAAAATCCGACGAATAATTACAATAATATCGTCTAAACGCTATTAAATTCACGTTGTGTCGATCAAGTTTTTCTTTCTAAGGAATAATATCAAAATCGACGATACAATTAGAACAAGGGTGGTAGGATATAGAAAGAAGTGGAGGAATGTTTTTTTTTAAACGACTATTGTAAATAGACCACGCAAAACCCCCGAATTTATTTCGACATCACCGGGCACGAGACCGTGTTCGCTCGACGTTCGTGGAAAAGATCCTTTTATCCTGCTCTTCCTCCTCGGTTTACGAGTGGTATACCGTTATCCGACGATTTATTTAAGTACGCGTTCAGTTGTTATACAACATGAACACATATACAAACCTCCAACGGGGTAAACGGGTTACCTGCATCAAAGATAAATGACGCGTTAAACGGGAGAGATAATACGATAATATTATATTGTTGTTCCTCTGACGATTCGTCGTCCGGCTGTGGCTATGGTGACGGTAGGTTTCGTTGTACAAAACTCCGCCCTATTGAAAATCACGCAGATTTTCGTAAAATATACTGGAAACGTTTAAGAGGGACAGCGAAAGAGATTGATTGAGAGGGCGTGGATGGTGCGAGAGGACGGAACTATTTCGAAACGTGTAGGTACGCGCTTGTAAATATTTGTATTTTTTTTTCTACTCGTCTACGTTCCTTACCGCTTAAGTTTCACGATTTACACAACAGTACCGTGTTTAATTTTGTATGATATGTATATGATTTCTCATGTTAGTACCAATCCGTTAATAATTATGTTGTATAGTCTTTTTATGCGTCTGTATGTAAATGTTTTCTATACATAGCCGTTTATAGTTCGTTTTATCATCTCACAGGTTTATACCGATTACATAATGTATGTAAAAATAATGTATTATTTATTATTATCAATGTCGTTAAAATATTATATTATGTTTTTGAAAATTTATCGTTCACGTCGTGTGTCCGGGACTTTCGTTTAAAGTTATGAGTACTATTTGTTTGTTTATTGTATCGGGATACAATTATCGATGATATTATTATTGTTGTTGTTTTTGTTGTTATTGTAACACGGCCGCCTATCGAGTATTATTATTATTATTATTATTATTATTATTATTATTATTATTATAATTATATAAATCGATTATTATCATTTCCGTTGCGTCAATCACTCCTGTGTACCGATAGAATATTGTCGGCGCGTCGTACACCACACAATATCAACAAAACATTTGTTTATTGTAAACCTTAACGCCGTCGTCTTCGTCGTCAGCAATCGTCGTGGTCGTCACCGTTTTTCACGCAAAATAATATTAGTTATCGTATAACTAATAGGTATATATGAATACATGTTTACTAACGAGTTGATACGATACGCGACACAATATTTGACCTGCAGAGTACTACTAATTTAATACTATCATATGTTATTCGTTTATTCGTTTTGTCCCGATTGAACTGTGTAATATTCGTGTAATAAAATATTGATTAAAAATTGTTTTACTTCGTGCACCTACTGGCGCTGGAATGTCCTAGAAAAACGGCCGCACCGCAAACGGTAAATTGTAAATAAATTATGTCCCTCCAAAACGGCAAACCGCGGCACGCGTCCGGAGTCAATGTGGTTGCGACCATCTCCGGGTGGTGCGCGGTGCTCGTTCCGTTGGATTTATAACGCGGAAAAGTATTTCCGTACCTAATTGATTTACTACTACGGGGCTGCGTTTTACGCGCCATTCGTTCACCCGGAACAAATACCTGTTAACGAACATCGCCACAAAAGTTTAACGTTTCCAAAGCTACCCCCACTCCCCCGTACACGTTAAGGTATATCGACTGATTTATCATCAAATACCACCGTCGAGCAGACGTTACGCGAACGGTGGCCTGTTGGTCGTCGCGTCTACGACCGCGGGACGTCAACGCGTCAACCGCCGACAAACCCGTACGCACGTGTACAGTGTCGAATTATGCTGCAATAGTAACCCCTTTCTGGTTTGTATTCGGTTCGTTACTTTTTTTTTTTTTTAAGTTTAATTTTTAAGAAAAATAAGCGCTTGGGGAACAAAGTAAAAACATAAATCGTTTTCTTTTCCTTGGACGTTGTATGAAATCGAAAAGAATTTCGAAAAATATAAAGTTTACAGAGTATGCAAAGACAACATTGGTACTTCGCAATTTGTAAGTAACCGTACTGTAACTATTCATTACAATGAATAGTTGATAGACAAATCGATTCGTGTGTGGAGTAGACGATGTTTGACAATAAAAACAGGCCGATTTCGATCCGTTCGATGTTGATCATCGACGTGCTCGTTCGACAACAGATCGCAGCGTCCATTCTGTTTGCGGACAACATGATAAATAATATCTAAAATAAACGCCGAGCATCAACATCGTAGACCGTCGTAGGTCACGCTAAAAACATGCGAGTCCGCGGCATTTCGTAATCGTTTTTCCTACAGAACACGAGCCAAAGACGGAACGCAGACTGTGATTTTTTATTTTTTTTTACATAAAATTCAAACAATAATATTCACCACTCGCGTATTTTTAATGCAAATATTGTTACTGAAGAATTCTTGGATGTACACGACCATATTGTACGCTATCGTTTTTTGTTTTGACGTTCAATAATTGACGATAAACCGCTAGTAAATCAACGCATTATTATTACGGTTTGAAGTACGTTTTTACGGTGAGGTTTTTTTTTCATAATCTTACATTTTTTTCACTCGTCCTTTTTCGTTACGGATGCGGTTGTTCGTACAACACACGAGCAACTCGTGTGCAAGAATCAGTCCAACCAAACATCGCGCCCGGGGCGTAACTTCAAAATGCGCTCTTATGTATTTTTAATTTAAAAATATTATGCTTATTAGATATTGTTTTCAATGATTGCTTTAATTAATATAAACGATGTTAAAGTCCAAAGATTTTGTAAACAAAATATACGCCATTGACCGTGGTAATTTTTAACATTAAATGTAAGATTTTCATTTTTACACTCTTCCAGGATAACCTGGCAAGAACGTGTCCATGTCCAACGATCACCGACGACGAGATACACCGATCGCGTATTGTAATCGCGTGTCGCGTGGGCGAACCGTTTACGATATTCACGGATAAAAATCGCGATCCGCATGCACGGCTTAATGGCGGACAACGATGTTGGACAGAAGGAGATGAGAACAATAAAAATAATTATAATCCGAAGAACGCCGTGGGCGAATATTTTCCAATCCCTCCACAACCTACTATAACACGGGGAGGGTCTCGGCGAACTTCCACCGACCCGTCGGTCATGGCACGTAGCGGTAGGATCGCGCGAGGTATATAACACCATCTCGTACGTTGTTAAAAAGTTTCGTTTACAAGCGACGCGTGATTTTCCCTTTCCCCGGCGACCATGATTTTAAACGAGGTGGAAACGTATTTTTTCACCAAACGATATACGAATGCTTTACGCGAGGACAAAGCAAGAACGTGGTTTGATTTTACACTTTTTTTTTCTAGATTCTGAGCGAAACGAGGAACGTATTGGTTTCCATCATCAATCCTATTTTTTTATTTTTTTTTCTTAAGCTTGTGTACAAGATTTCGATCAGGAGAATCGCTCCGATCTTTGAATTCAAAAGAAATTATTGATTGGAAATGTTTTTTAGTTGGTATTTTGAAACTCGGTCTTATTACAAATTACCCAACAGAAATTTCTGGAATATCGCGAAAAAGGTATACTGGTTATCTTGAAAATGTAATTATTGTTTGCATCATAACTCAAAATAATAACAGTTGCATGAACATAATATGTTCACTAAACCACTATTAACTATAAACAGTACGGTTGACAAAAGATTTTTATTTTTTTTACATTTTATAGAACATTTTTGAAAGTAACGATGAAATAATTTTGGTTTGACGAAAATCTTAAAAATGTAAATTGAATGTTTCATACATATATTTTACCAGTTAAAGAAAAAAAATCTTATCTTTCATAGTTCCGAACTATTTTAAATGAAATTTGTGCTGTTTATAGGCACTTGAAATCAACGATTATCCTTAATTTTAGATATTTTTTACTGCGTGAAAGTTAGAATAAACATTTTATGAGCGTTTGAATATTAAATTTCGATAAAATGGCAAAATCAAAAAATCTTTTTATCTTTTTTATTAATAATTCATAAAACTTTTAATTTTATATTTAAACGATGAAAACTGTTTACGTTATTTCTCATAATATTTTATTTATAGCAAAAAAAAAAAAAAAATTAACTTAAAAGTAATAACAATTTTATATAAGTTTATAAAACATTAGTTATTTGATTAATATTCTATAAATATAAACTATAGCAATTTTAAACATTTTTTTTATTACATAATATGTAATAAGTATGAAAAAAAATTATAATTTTGAAGATAGAATTTTAATTTCATTTATATTTCTATTTCGATTCCTATCATTCTTCTTTAAAAATCTAATCTTTTTAACCAAAAAAATTAACTTTTACTATTATATCAACCATTTTTAGAAATATAAACTGATTGACCTTTTTCACCCAAAATCGGTTTTCTTAGAGCATTTTTATATTGGTTTGAAGTTTTAAAGACGGATACAGAGATACAATTCATCTATCAATGCATCTCACCTGATTTAGGAGTCTAGCAATTTTTCTTTCTTCTTCTTCTCTATTTCTTATTTCTGATTATAAATTAAACAACAGTTATGTTATTTATGTGTAGATTTATTTATGTTGTTATATAATTACGAAATAAATTAGTTTACAATACAAAACATTTGAATCACGAAATATTTATCATAATAAAGAGTTTAAAGAATAAACAAATTAAAACGAAAAATACCCAGACATTTTTTATACAGGTCTATAACAGGATCAATTTTTTAAGGTAAGTTATATTTTATATTTTTTCGTTCTATTCAGATGAAAAATAAATAAATTATTGTGTATTTTTCGCTGATAGCTCTACTTAGTTCGAGTGATAAACAAAATTATCGATAATAGATTTATCAAACAGTTTTATTGTTTTATATATTTAATAAGTTGAATTTCTGTAATAGAGGTTTATACAGTGTTAGGAAAATTCCTTTTAAAAAATAACTAGTTCCCATTCTTCGTTTCTACTGTAAAAAAGGAACTCGTTCCTGTTCCTCGTTCCTGTCGCAAAAAAATAATGCGTTCCCGTTCCTTTACACATTTTTTACGATTTAAATGGTGGTCAATGGTGTTTTTCGTGAACAATTTTTAAGTCAGAAATAATCTGTTAATATTATTTGTACTTTGTTATCATTTAGATTTTTGAACCATTATGACATGATTATCACAGCAACATCGTTATCGTATATATCACAATTATACTTATGATATTATTCATATTATACCATGTATGCTATAAATTTCGAACTAAATTAAAATTTAAAATATACCAACGATACTTAGGTTTTTCATTTTACTATTTACTAATGATAGATAAAGTGATGAAGAAATGAAGTGATACCAAATTTCCAACACTAAATATATTCTAGAAAATATTATCATTAAAAATAACAAATTTAAAATAACAAATTTTTTTTTCATTATTTGAGGAACTGAAATTTTCTTTCAAGTTTCTTAAAAATAGGAAATCTTTCCCGTTCCTCGTTCCTATATTTCAAATAGAAAACGTTCCGAGCTTCGTTCCTTCCTAACACTGGGTTTATATATAATTATGAACGCGATCAGGTGTTCAAATTCAAATATAATGAATTCCAATTTTATTAAAATACCAAAATATAATATTCAGTGAAAGTTCTGGACGACTTTGATGCTTTGCGTATATTTACCAGAATTAAAGGACAATTAATAATATTGGTCTTTTAAAATTGAAACTAATAAACTATTGCTCTCGAAAAGACTGTTTTAAAGAAAGAATTTCAGTTTATATTTTTTAATATGGTTGATATAGAATAAGAACCAAATTTCTCAATAAGATAGGTTGATTTTTAAATATTATAATTAAGCCAATTAAAATGTCAAGTGCATATAAAAATTCAAAAATTATTTAAAATAATT